CGCTATTTTGATTTCGTCAGTAGCGAAGTAAGCGCGCACATAACTTATGCCCAAGCTACATGTCTATGCAGTGGGGGAGTACTTTAGCTACAACCGCCGGTCATCTTCTACGATCCAACGACACGATGTGTTCTCTTACTGATGAACAAATCATCTTGCTATGCCACGACCCTACGACCGAGATCATCTCGCTGCCGGAGTGCACCAATAGGGTGGTACGTATCACGGACGGTCTGGCAGCAAAGTTTGGGCGATTTGTTAGCGTTCACGAGTTCAGAAACCAACATATTGCGCAGCGGTATCTTGATCCAGACCTAGTTCGCGTACTGAAATTCCATCGGTACATAGAGAAGGAGGGAACGGGATATATTATCATGGACTACGTTGATGGTCATATCTTGGACCTGCAATGTGCGAGGATGATGGCGGAGAGGTTGGGCAAAGTCCTGAATCATCTCCACGCTCAGACGGCCACCCGGCCAGGCTCACTGGGTGGAGGCCCGCTTTCCGGTGCACTCTGGCCTGAACACGAAGAGGTGGAGTTCTCAGAGGCGGAGGACCTTCAACATTGGCTGCAGTCTCATATGCCCAAGTCAGCAGGCCGAATTGACCTCAACGGGCACACCTTCAGCATGTGTCATTTGGATTTCAGCCCACGAAACATCATGGTTGATGGAGATCGCATCTACCTCGTCGACTGGTCGGCTGCTGCCTACCTGCCACGATTCTTCGAGTTTCTCGTATACAAATTCCTCCCACAGGATCTTGAATTCTTCGCGCTGGTGAAACCATTCCTCCTTCCGTTGACCGAGAAAGAACAAGAGAGCGTAGAGATTGTGGCGGAAACCCTGCAATACGCTCGCTTCCATTATCAGTGAGTTATAGGTTGCCTGATTCCATACGCACAGCTGACAGGGGCGATCCACCAGTCCGGGGACTAAAGTTGCTCATAGAACGCGCATTGGAGTATGAGACGAACGACACGGGCCTCTGCTCCGGTCGCGCGCCATGTCAGTGAAACGGCGCGTCCCCCGTGGACGTCAAAGGGCATGACCGCCATAGAGGTTGATTCCAAGTCCAGTGATATAAATTGGAGATTGCCGACAACGTTTTTACGTGTGCATACCTCGTTCTTGTAGCAAGAGTAGCCATCTCGCCTCGCGCCTTTGCGGCACAATCAATTCGGTCCGCGCCACGGCACGTCTCCCCGAAACTCATCCTACATTGCATGAAGTTCCTCCTGACAGCACTACCAGATGACGGACTTTAGCGGCGACGCTCGGATCGTCCATTTGATCCAAGCTGTGTGCCACCCCTTCAACGAGAACTACAACCATTGGTCGCTCAATATCCAGTTCAAGAATCGTGCAGCGGACGTTCAAGTGGCAGGTTCTATTCGCTGTCATATGATAGTGAACGCGGACGACGGCGAAACGATGTATACCGTCACCACGCACGCCTATGCTGTCACCACTAACTGTGTCTTCACCGTTGAGTTTCCGCCGACCTCGAGCCAGCTGCCGGTTGGCTGTGTCAGTAGCATCATTCGAAACAATAATCTACATATGTTTGAATACTCATCCGAAGGATCCGGATGTAGACATTGGATGTAAGCAAGCTCTTCATTCAAAATCATCTTCAGGGTATCGATGCGGTAAGAGGACAGTTACGTGGTCATCCAACACCTCGAAGCCACGGACTACATTGCTCAAGGAAGCGCCGCACGTCTCTGGCCGTACCTGCACCATTTCTACGAAATCGCCGTTAACGGGCAGACAGTGGATTGATCCTAACCGGCCGTAGGGTCTCACCGTAGAGCAAGCCGAGTCTGTGAATCAAGACTCCAAGGTCAGATCTATGCTTCAGGAGCGCGAGCCCCTCAGGGTACGTCTCAAGGGAAGGGCCGCCGAAACCCCGACGTGCCAGAAGGTGAGCCGATTGATCACGAATGAGAAGGAGCGGGTGCGTCGGGCACTTCTGGAAGAGATACAGAGGAAATATGAACTCGAGTCGTCTGTGCGATCTATCGAGGAGCAGCTCGCCGGCGTCAAAGTTCGTGGACAGGAGAAGGTCTTGTCATATTTCTCTGAGGACACGCTTGCCGATCAACGTCGGCTTATCGAAACCATGATCCTTGCACCGCCTGGAGCCACACTCGAAGAAGAAAGTCAGCGACGAGACAATGCAGTCAACGCCGTGATAGCATATTGCAAGATTGAGGAAGGCGATATGTATGGCGGCCGAAAGCGGTGTGACGGCAGACGCGGCGCCCCGGACGTAGCTTTAAAGACGGAGGCACCCCTAGAGTAGCAAGACTTGCTTAAGTTGGCCATGCTGTCGGTTTTCATCAAGCACCCGGCGGAGAGGCCGAGGCGATGCGTAGTGTGTCTCGCAAATGAAAGGGCGCCCCTTCGCGTTCGTCCCTATGAGTTCAGCACACCAAGTGACATGAGCAAGCATTTCAAGTGGAAGCACCTCAGTCTGATCGAAAATGGTGTAGAAAAGCCAGAATGCAAGCTCTGCAGGATGGACTTCGATCGCAAGATGCATTTCCAAAATCGCATGATTATGATTCATGGCACTGTGACATAACTTAGAATAGGAAAATGCTTTACTGTGAGGGAGGCACGTCATTTCTACTTCGGAGCTGTTGGATCTGGTTCACGATTGTAGATGTTTTGATTGCAGGATGTGCCAGGTGCCTAAACATAGAGCTCGCCAAAGTCGATGTTTCAATTGAAACTTATCATGAATGCTTACTGAACAGTCTTAGTAGGAGCATATACAGCAAACCATATCATTTTACCAACTTTATATCGCTGTCCCTAAGACAGGCATAGCAAGGACGGCAGGCTTTGGGAGATCCCAAATGCCGGTCAGGAATGCCAGTGCACCCGCCTTTGCACCCTCTGCTGCGTTCAATTGGGTAATTAGTCGACTGTACTGTGGCCGCTTCTCAGGGCAGAGTGAGGAGCGGGGAAAGAAAATGAGTGCTCGTCACACAGCAGGCGAAGCGCTTGAACACCTCGAGGGCGAGCCTTGAGCAGGGTCTAATGCATCTTGAAAAGCATGAAACTGGAAGTTTCGGAATGTGCTCGCTAACGAGACGAATCAGACGACCGCGCCAACACACGCCCGTTCAGAGGCGCCCAAAACTGGGGACCTCTCAGCGTTGCGCGTGGCCGCTACTTAAAACAGCACCCGTTTCCCGCGACTGCGCCTCCAGCCAGCCCACCCATCCACTTATTTAAATATATACAATATTAGTCTTATTGATAACAGATTTAAGAAGTCGCTCTTACACTTACATCACGCCTCGGCAATGTCGCAAAAATGGATTTGAGCCGCTCAGCAGTGGCTATGCTTGTCTATGGCTAAACTACTTTGAGCCTACTCGCTCTCCTTGTTGATATCGCCTTGCTTCCGAATTGTTGTAGCTCTGAGGGATCTCATATTCCTGCCGCATTCCTACTCATCCGGGACTGTATGTCTCTCGGCGGTCGGCTCTCGGGAAGAATAACTTATCAACTCAGAGAAGGTATTGCTGCCTCGGGCACCAAAAGCCAGCTGAAACCATTAGGCGCGTCCAGCTGGAGGATCTCTCAATTAACATCAATTGTCACCACGCTTGGATGCGAATTACTCGTCAATGGCTCCCAACACAATTCAATGGGAAACCGCTACAGAAAACGAGATTATCCAGCACTGCTCCCGGGATAACCCGAACCGAGAAATCGTCAGCGAACTAGATGGAGGGCTTTCCGTTATCAAGATATCAGAAGATGCAGTTATCAAGTGCGGGCTCGGCGTCAACGAATTCGAAGCCGCGAACCAAAAGCTTGCGTATGAGATTCTTAACCCCACAATTATACGAGTTCCTCGCGTCTATCGCTTTTTTGTTTGTGGTGTGAATGGATATCTTATCATGGAATACATCAAGGGCCGGCTACTCTCCACTCTAGGTCCTGATGCCTATCTGGAACGAATGGCAAATGTCCTGAAGCACTTCGAAAGCGTGCAAAGATCTCGGCCTGGACCCTTGCACGAGAGCCTCGCTTTTGGTCAGCTCTGGTTGGATTACGATCCCATAGCTCCTACCTCCATAGAACTCATCGAGAATTACTTCAACACAAGGCAACTGAAAAAATCAACCCATATCAAGCTGGCTGGCTATCCATTAGTCTTATGTCACCTGGACATCGCCCCTCGGAATATCCTGGTACTGGACGATGACTCTTTGTGCCTTCTCGACTGGCATTCCGCTGGCTTCTACCCAAGACTATTCGAGCGGACTACTCTGAGAATCAATGTACGAAATAATTATGACTGGAACGCGAACCTCTTGGGGCTGTTAGATGATCTGGATGAGGAAGAGGAGCTTCAAGCTCAACTATTGCAACGCGCTTACAATCTTGGACAGAAATATATGTAGTACGTGCACTGCCATATCCTAAAAGCGTAGATATTAACCAGGCCAGCCGAACGCAAAAGTTCAAACCAGCACCACCGCCAAGAATGGAAATAATTCCTAACCGTCGTAATCAACGAGAACAAATGAGCGAAAGGTTTGGGAGGGAAGATGTATGAGGGGGGGCAGGCATCAAATATGAAACTGTCTGAGTTCCTCCGATCCTTTCCTTAAAGAAAATTTAGTCTTTCGCGTCTTAGTCCTTCTCTTCTTCTTCGTCCTTGCCGAACCAGTCATTCCACCACTGCGTATAGCTTAGAAAATCTCCTTGCCGGATAGGATGATTTTCTCTTTCAGCCCCCGAACGTGAATACCACTTCCCAAAAACTGCCCAAGCATGGGCTGGAACCTCAGAGTTTAAGAAGAATCTATTCGGGTCCTGTGCCATTTTATACAGGAGCATATAGCTTTATAAACTTAATAAGAAGCGGCTAGATTTCGAATAATTTTAGAGTTTACATACTTCCAAAAATGGCAGCCAGAACCGCCTGAGGAAAAGAGATACTGATGGAGATGCCATTCGTTTCGGATTGCCCGATACAGAGTGCGAACCTGCACCGGCGCTCCAAGGTCGTAATCGAAATGCTTGATCTCCGATTGCGACTGCTGATAATTTACTAGTTTCCATTGAAGCTGTCCTCTTCTGTCATCTTCATCAGTTCTCATATCGACTTGGACTGCACCACCCATTGTTAGGATCAAGAGGATAGTGACGTGATTGTCGCTGTGGGCCGAGTTCGGCCATGCTCCAGTAGTATGAATGGTCACGCGGATCCTCTGAAACACCGAAGTGTTATCCTGAAAATGCTCTATGTTTCGATCGTCGAGCGCAACGATATGGCTGATACTCGCGGATGTGGCGCTAGTGCTTGCTATGGCGGGGATTACGGTCGGAACGTTGCCGGATGGACCAGCGCCAGCTAACGCAGGGTTGGGCGTGTCGGTGGTTGAGCTGGACTGTACAACAGCTGTAGATGCTTGCTGTGCCTGTCTCTGTAGAGGGCCATGACTGATTACCGTAAGTATACAAAGAAATAACAGCATCCGGATCTTGTTACCGTTCGTCTGCCCAGAAAGTCTGCGGAAAGTCTACTGGACCATTGTTCTTCAGGCGGTAGTATATTCTTCCCGCATGTTGTTGTTCATCATACCAATAGGCAAGATTAGCATCATCAATTTGCTGCGGGCTATATGGCATTGTTATAGTGTGCAAAATGAATTAGTGAGACAGGACGAGTTATATTGTAATGATAAATAAGGCAAATCGCGTAAGACGCATAGCGCATAGATGATGTCGTCAAGTAGCCCAAATTGGAAAGTATGATGCGACGCGTGTTTCAGTCGCGGGTTGCCCAAAGGTTATGGCGCCCTGCCCGCTGTTCCATCGACGCAGCTTTGAACCTGTCGCTTTTCGTGAACCTCACCGAAACGAGCCTTAGGAACAACTGGAAGCATCGAATCACCATCTCCTGCACTGCTTCACACGCCCCTGCTGCTCTCGACGCCCGCTCCAGAGCCCTTAAAGATCGGAACGCCTGCCTCACACGCCCCCAATCACTCAGTCCACTGCCACTGGCTCTAATAATCTGCCTCAGAATTGGAATGTTGTCATAAACGATCCATCGTACAAGCAGCTCCTGGAATTTCGCTTCGTTGAATGCTAGCGCAAAGGCATTAAGTATTGCTTGTTCGCGAGGCTGGGTCGAGTCCAGGTTGGACGGCGCTGGTATACTTGGCGGAAGCGGTACGATCTCTCTCTTCTCATTTAAGGTTTCATTGTGGACCTTACGTATATGGTCAATGGGATTCGAGCTGCCTTTTTCGACGTTGAAGCGGTGGCGCCGTAGCGTATCATCGGCGGCGGAATGGCAGCGAAGGCATAACCATCAGCGCTTATTTGTCGCAGTATGTTCGATCGGTACACCAACTCTCCAGATGCCCGAGATTAACTTGTGTGAGGTCGCGCAATTGGAACACTAAAGCCTGGCAGTCGCTTCCAGTCGACCTTGCTGTAGTCGAAGTGAGATGGCTCAATTAGAGGAGGCTCGCCTTGGTGCGCTTTCTTGCTGGATTCGGAGTTGAAGGTTGGCACATCGGTAAGACTTGAGGCGGCAGAAACAATGCTTGAAGTACTACTAAGGGACGGCGATGGCGACGGCGAGAGACCGTGTGATCTCATGATGGTAGCATAGTATGGATCCCAAGGAGGTTTGAAGACTGGTTTAGTAGTATTAAGCAGATTCCGACAGTCCATGTTGAAGATGCGGTGTGAAAGACGTGTGATTCATTCAGGAGACTTCTGAATAGTCACATATAAAAGCCAAAGGCGTAAGCCACCATCGCCTCCAATGGATCGTTTTTGGATGGATCGGCACAACTACCCCAAATCCGGATATTTTTGGCAATAGATGGACCTGGATGGATCGGCCGATGCGCAGCCATCCGCTTTCCACACTGGTGTGTTGTTTATCTGTTAAATTAAGCACCTGATCGGGGCAAAAAAGTAACCAAACAATCAAACGGCAAAATTAATCCAAACTTGGAGATATCAGTGCGCTCAAGACCTTTTCAATAAACTATGATACTCCTTAAAGACTTATAAGTGTAGTGAGACAGTCAAAGACACCATATGGAAAGGATGGGTTGCGAGCTCTGGAGAGAGTTGAATAGTTGCTATTAGATAGGTATATTATTCTTAGTATACGAAATATTGATTACGCTACATCGCAGTACCGAGCAAGATATTTTATAAGAAGCCTTGAATTGTGTTTTGGACTGATTCTTTCGTAGCTTTAGTCTATTGCTTTTTCCGCCCGTTCTGAAGCACCCAGAGATCGTAATACTTTCCGCCCTTTTCAACTAACCCTTCATGTGTGCCACTTTCAGCAATTTTGCCATCTTCTATAAAGAAAATCAAATCTGAATCAATAATAGTGGACAGCCGATGAGCTACGACAAACATTGTTCGTCCATATCGTAGCTCACGTAAAGCTTCCAGAACTTGAGTCTCAGTTAAGGAATCCATGCCGCTCGTTGCTTCATCAAGAATGATAATCCTTGGATTTTTCAATAGTAGGCGTGCGATAGCTACTCGTTGAATTTCGCCACCTGACAGCTTTACCCCTCGTTCACCGACTATAGTGTTGTAGCCACCAGGACGTGATTCGATGCTTTCATGTAGTGCTGCGCCTTTACATGCTGCAACAACTTCTTCAAATGTAGCATCTGGTCTTGCGTACCGGACGTTTTCGAAAATAGTTTTGTTGAAGAGGCAAGGATCTTGAGGGACCACCCCAAGAGCATCCCGTAGGCTCTTAAGAGTAACTTTGCGTAGGTCATGACCATCAATTGAAATAGATCCTCCCGTTACGTCAATGAATCGGCAGAGGAGTTTAAGGATAGTTGATTTTCCGGCTCCTGTCTTACCAACGAAGGCAACAGTCGTGCCAGCTGCCACCTCAAGAGAAATCCCGTTAATGACCTTTTTGTTAGTTGGACTATAAGAAAACTCAACATCGCGGAAATTAACTTTTCCAGAGGAGATCTTGAGTTCATATGAGCTCGAGTCATCTTGAACTGACGGTTTCGTACATAGCAGCTGAAATAGTCGTTCCGCATCAATAAAGGCAGATAAAATATTAGAATAGGACCAAGCTATCAGGTCGAGTGGGCGAACCATCGTCGTCCAAAATGTCGTCAGAGTAACAAAACTGCCGATTGACGCATCTCCAGAAGAAATTTTCCGGATTGCAAGGAATGAACAGCCAAGCAAGCCCAGAAAATCAATTAATGTCTGAACTGCGTTGCCTGCATTCAGCCGGTTGAGGTATGCTTGCTTAGCATGAATCGTTTTCTGAATAGCTCTGGCGTAACTTTCCTTCTCAAAATCAACTTGATTGAAGTATAAAACTGTTTGCCAATTTCTAAGAGACTCGTTCACGGTATTACTCTCACTCCGTATTGCTTTGCTGTAAGTTTTTCGGAGCATTTGTGTCCAATCTGTGAGCTTAATCGTAATCCACACGTAAGAAGCACCCACAACGAAGATCGTAAAAGCGACATACCAATCAAATAAAGAGGTAGTGTACCACGCAGCTATTATAATGTCAATGGCGACTGGGGGTATTTCAAGTAGGAACAGTTCCGCAAGCCGGTTGATCGCATTCCCTTGCTCGACAGCTTTGATGATCTCTCCAGACTCTTTATTATTATGGAAATCCATAGAAAGTGTCATAAAGTGTTTGAAAGCAAGACAACAAACTGCCTGATATGAAAAATCCCTAACTTCTAAAAGGGCCTTTTTTTTAATGACCCCTAGAAGACCATTATTGTTCCTCAACCATGAAAGAAGAACCCATATCCCTGCTTTATAACAGGCCGTATCAAAGTTATGAGCAATAAGCTGGTCCATGATGAGACCAATTTGTTGAGGTATAAGTACTCTGAGGAATCTGTCGATGACAAGATCGAGTACTAAAATAAGAAGGCAGAGCTTTCCTTTTATGTTGCTCGGCCATAGACAGGGGAGGAAGATACGAAACTCTTTCACGTAGCCAAACCATCCATGCTCTTGTAGCCGCTTGTATTGTCGCTCTCTTGTTATACTGTCGCTGGTCTCAATTCCGGATCCATGAGTTGGCGCGATTTCATAGACCATTTGTCCAGTAGATTCGTTTGTAAGGAGACACTGGCTTTTCTCAGTATTCTTGTTTGCTTGATGGTCGGTTCGGGTATTTAAATGGAGCCCAAGCACAATACAGCAGATGAATCTGAAAATGTGAAGCCCTAGCGTAGTGAGGACGTAGTCCCCTTCTTGTGGTTGAAAGAATGATAAAGTAGCCAAAATGCAAAAAATAGTCTCAAAGAGGCATTGGATGACCAAAGATTGATGGTATCTTAACCATAAGTATCCGGACAACACCAGAAGATTTATGTCCAAAGTAGCCCATACCAGGATGGATGCCATTGCGTGAAAAAGACTGCATTGGGATGGCCACCATCCCTTTTGTATTGCTGCACGGTATAAATATACCATTACTTCTAAAATATAGCTTATAGCCAAAAAGAACATAAGAATAAGAGCTGTGAATTTTTTCTTATTGCTATATTCCTTTCGGATATTGACACACCCCATAGTCTTCTGGGATGCCAGAGGAATCAGATATAGTAGAATAATAATAGAGGGATGTAAATAATATAAAGATTTTGTAAAACCTGAAACAACCATTATGGTGGTGACTTTTGGGTAATTTCATGTGACAGGAAAGTGTTCTGAGATATGGAATTTACGGGTGCGGAGTTCGACATTTTATAATCTCCATCTAGTTAAGAGACATAGGTACAGCAGGGTTCGGCATTTCCGCCTGTGTTCGCATTTGAGCAGCGCTTCCCATTGCGACATCCTACGCTAGTTAGTACAAAGCCAATAAATAACCATAAAATACACTAACCACTGCAATCTGCAGGTCCTTTTTCAGATCCCCGCCATAGCGTACACACACCGCCATGTGTTTATCGTTCAAAGCTCTCTGCACGGTCCGGTATATCTCTGACCTATCACTCACTTTCACTGTATCTCCATGCCAGCTTTCTTCAGACAGGCCATCCATGACATTCTCCAACAATGGCATATAATATTGAACGACTTGAAAGTCAAGCGAGTCCTTCTGCAGTATACCTGTTACACAGGTCATGCCGGCGAGCGCAGTGGCGGCGCTTGGGTCAAGTGTGAGAAAACTATTCCAAAGCTGCAGCTTAAGCTGGATAGGTCGCTGAAGACACTCCCACGAAGCACTTCCCAGAAAGAGCAATATCAAGCTCGCAAACATTTGAAATCCCAGCTGTGCAGATATGTACAGCTTACAAGCATCTTCGTGATCCACATGATTGCCGCCGCATTGAAACACATATCGGCTTTTCTCCTCTTCTGTCAATAGCAAGATCGTATGGAAGTGCTTTTGGTTACCTTTCATATGTGCCGGGATGTCGATCCATGCATACTCTGCGGGGGGGGCCTGATCCTCCTCAGAATATGCGGGTAGGGCGTCAGTGTCAAAATGACGTGTCGTGCTTGTATTATCCTCATGCAGCTGGTTCAGTTGTGTAGGCTGCGTGGCTGCATCTACATGCGGTCGTAATTTGCGTGCAGATAGTCGTATGGAGGACAAGATGTCGCGCAATGATATGTGCGAGCACATGCTGCATCAGATTTTGGCGGTGTGGAACAACAATGCAGGTTCGCCTTGCTCAGCTGTAGACTGGGAATTTATATAGGAGCTTTGCGATTACTGGCAAACTCCGCAGGCCGCAAACATGGCTGGCTGGCTGGCCAACGATGAGCACTGATATCAAGGCCCTGGTGAAGTTGGCGCGCGGATTTCGGCAGAGAGTTAGATGGCCCATTTCGATTCACCACGTCCCATGGATCCACCACGCAGAGTCCTCGTACGATGGAATGTCAGCCAAAAACACGTGTTCCTCCAGAATGTAGTTCATGTGGCTCGCTTGAGAATACTGCTCGTATATGTTCGATGTGGTAAATTCTAACTTAGATCATTAATAATTTATTGCTGTATAATACAATCTTTATATAAGATCTTGAGGTGGGTGGAGCTATGCACTCGCTTCTGGAAAACGTTCTTAGTCCATTTCCAATGGCTGGATACTGCCTTCTTTCTCACTGGTGTGTTTTGCGACCCATATTTTCATCGGTTGCCTTCATTCAATGCATACACCCGAACTCGGTATGATTGAAGCAAGGCTCATTACGCCGCACCTATGGTATATCACTATACAAGAGTTCATGCACAGTGGCCCACCATGATCCGTCAATATGGCTGAGAGCTAATGTGCATAACCGCGTGCAAGCTGTGCTTGTTGAGACTATGGCCATGCCATGCATTAGCAACATCCTCGAATAACCGTGCAATTGGAAATTGGACCTGCAATCGCTCACCGCGTAAGCTGGCGGGAAGGGTCTGCGGTATTGATAACTCTACAATGGGAAATCATGGCCTTGTTCGGGTATTAAGTGTGATAATAGTGGTGTAGATAATAATAAGAGGTTAGCGTGGAGACGGTGCAGTCTCCGCGCTAACCTCTTATGCTGCTAAGCCACTGGGGAATGAGCCGGATAATATTGTCTCGGGTCCTGAAGTGCAGCTCGCAAGCGCGGCACGAAGCTATGCCGTATCGGACATAAACCGCCTGGCTAAAGCTGGAAAGAGTATAGCCTCAAACCGCCTTACTTGTATTTGCTTCGCGTTGCGATTTAGAGAAAAGCAGCTCTTTATGTTTTCCTATATGCCTAGGAAAAAACGTGTTCACCTTTTTCGCTTCCATAGTACTAAGCACAGCATTGTGTTGCCAAACAGCACCCTGACAATGCGCCAAATCCTGACTCTCAAAACTGTCCACAGCTGCAAGCGCAAACGCGACATCAGCAGTCGCAGGCGGCACCTAAGCGAGTTGGTTGAGATATTCCGCGAGCTCATCGGCGGCAACAACCGCTACAGGCGCGTTCCCTGTCCGATCCTATCACTGTGGAGTCGCCCAGGAGAGTGCTGGTCTTGGACGCCAAATCTTGCACCGCCTTCGACATGTTGCGTAATGTCTATGGAAAACCAAGCGTACGAGCCAACGGGGGCCGGGAAGGCCTGCGTAGTGCTCTGATCAATGGCAGGCGGATACGAAGCGTTCGGATAAGGCCCGTTTGCGCCCATGGACTGAAGCATCTGAACCGTCTGCTTCTGCTTCTTCGACAGAGCGTGCTGCTTGATCATGCGAGGCAGTTCGGACAGGTAGGGCCGCCTCCACAGATTTTGTTCGATGAGACATGCATGATGATGGGGTCCTGCGTGATATACTTTCTCGAGATGGAGAGGATGATTGCTTCCAGGCTGGTGATGTCCTGTTCCAGTGCTTGTATCTTCTGCTTCGAGACCTGCTTCCGCATGTCGCTGCCCGCGCTATATATATGCAGTTCGTGAAGCCTTTTTGCACACATTCCGAGCACGAGGATCGCTGGCCGTCGCACTGGACACGCGTTAGCAGCAGAACGGCGGGGCAGAGAACGAGGTGGTAGGCTATGTATATGGTGTGTTTGGAGATGAATATTTCTTCAGCCTAACTGACTGCTGACGTATCGCAAAGACCACCTCAATACATCAGGCTCTACCCAATCATTACGTCCACTCCGACGCACATCGCCCGCACCTTCCACCTCCCCACTGTTCTGCCCTCCAGGGGGGAGGGGGGGCGCCGCGGGCTGTCCTCAAGCGGTCGCGCAATAGGACGTGAGAGAGGATTGGATCAAGTCCTCCGATTCGTCAACCCGGCCACCCTGTTCCCATACAGCGTCTCAATCATGCAAGCAGCCAACACGTCGGGTGGCTTAGATCTATGCGATTCGTATGTGATGGAAACACGAAGAGCTGCTTTACTTCGAGGCGAATTCCACAGCGAAACAAATACATGCAAGGCGGTTCGATACTATACTCCTTTGGGCTTTAACTAAGTTGTTCACGTCAGATACGGCATAGTTTCGTGCCGCATGGGCAAGCCGCACTTCATGCCTGCCATCCGTCTTCTGGAAGCTGGTTTACCGGTCATGAAAGTGAAAGTCCTACCAGGGCTAGGTCATTGTTTGTGGATGAACGCGACTCTGCGTTGTCAGGGATCTACATGTTTTACCTCGTGCATGAAGCCGAGCCAGTCGTCGTGTTGACCTCGTGAACAGAAGGTTTTTATATTTCCCTCCGACTTCTTCAGTTCCTTCAGTGATATCTTTCATCTTTCATTTAATTACGAATTCGATTCTGACCTTAGGCAAATTGCAAGAATGGACGACATCACCGTCTGGATGACAGAAATCAGCGACTATGCTGTCGAAATATTAAAATCAGTTAACTCAGACCCCTCGGCTAGTGCATATTATAACATTATCAGCGATATCTCAATTTACAGTGGGAAGCTCATGCTTCGCAATGGCGCAATCTCAGAAAAGAAAATTGAGAAAACCGTCTCCGGATGGATCGCGGCACTGAAAAAAATAGAAGAATATGGGGAGCTTGCGTGGAAGGTTGAAGACTTCATATATAATACACAGGACATACTCAAGAAGCACACGGAGCATATTGGAATTCCGGGCTTGTTAAGAGATACACTTGCAAGTCTTAGGGGAGTGACATTTCAATATATTGGTGAGGATTTAATGTACCACAAGGTAAGATTATACTATCAGGTATTGGAGCCGAACTGAAAACATAACAGAGTTATCGTGAATTCCGTCTCTCACCATGGCTTACTGCTTGTTGGTATGTCGAAAACGGTAAAGCATACTGGAGCTATAAATGGAACAATGTAGCGGCTTAAGACAAGATCTGAGGTCGCAATATTTAGAATTCGTGAAATGACAAATATCGCTTAGAATAGTTACTATAAAGGTTATTAGAGGTAATTAATATAATATTCCCAGGGATCCGCGGTTTCAATGCCATCCACTTATGACACATGAGTAGCAGCACGAGCCTGCTTTCGCTGCAGCGGCTCTGTGTTGTCCATTCCCGATGAGCTTCATGCCCCGAGTGGTTTGCACACAGAGAGTGGCTTGCAGGAGTTGGAACCGGACGACGCCGTTGCCAGTCATGGATGCAGACATGGCGAGCCACAGAGCGAGCCAAAGAAGGAGTCGGCATGCTACGCCCGTACCCGATCTGCGATACTGATCCTAAACCCGTTAGTACACCGCCAAACAGGACGGCGCAGGATACTTACCACTCCACGTTGCAGGCCTCTCTCTGCAAGTCTCTCTCCAGATCTCCGTCATACTCCACATCCGACTCCACCAACACTCCACTCAAATACACGCGCACGCTCTTAAATGTCTATGACTCTTGATCGACAGTGACCTTTCCATGTCGTCCTCTTCGAAGTAAGTCATTTACGTGCCTCGCTATTATCTTCTCTATGACAAGTGCGATGTGATAGTCTTCTAGATCCCTACGTATGACGTTGGTCACACTGGCCAGACCCGCGAAAGCAAAGATAACGCCTCCCTCCAGCCCACGGAATTCAGTCTTGGTGATGCTCCTGAGCTCTTCTCGCCCACGCGAATGCGCAAGGCATGTTGCGGAAGAGGCACCCAAAAAGAATAAGACAAAGCTCACAGCCATCTGGAACCCTTTTTGCCGAGCAGATCCTTTGAATTTATCGCTGAACTCGTACTTGCCGCCCTTCGTTAGCATGAACACAGATGCGAGATGCCTGCTGTCACTGTCCCTCAGATTGATAGGGGGTTTCGGCCGTCCTCATATGTTATGCTAAGGATGATAATAACTGCCTATTGTTGTGAGCCGCGTTAGCCTGATGCGAGTGGCCTCCCATTGCTCTCCGCCCGAGTACGTCTTCAATCGCTAGGGTTTGGGCCACAACTGGCCACGACAGGGGGCGGGCTGCGCGAGGGGCTGATTGACACATGTTAAAAGCAAATGGTGGGGACCAAAGATGAACGCAGGTTCGCCCTGCTAAACTGTGAGCTTGGAACACATATGTAGAAATAGAAATGCAATGCCCACCAAACAGACTTCTGCGCTCAATCATGGGGCTAGCCATCTTGAGCAGAGCAGCGATTCAAGACGCAGCGAACGTGGTACCGCGATGTTCATAATGCCGGCCACCAATACTCATCATCGGGCCACAATGTGAGGAATTTCAGGGCGCAATCACACGCTTATTTCACGGCTCACATAGAAAACAAATTCTGTGCCGAAATCCAAATTTTGCCGCAGGAGGCCAGCCGACTTTGAATCAGCCGTCAAAGAAACCATTAAGCATGTGTCTCATGGACGGACTGCTCTGGATCTCGAGGAATAAGCCGGGCGTAGAGCAATAGTCCTGCTTCTGGTACGGTTTCCGCGGGTGTTGAAATCGCATGTGGGGAAGAAAGGAATCCCCGCTTTTGTTCTGATGCTGAAAGAAGATTCACGGCTGGATGTGATTGTGGAGTGGCTGTCCAGTTGCGAAGAGGAGGTTGTTGACATAGAAGAGAGAATAGAGAAACTGAGCACATCATGCGGGCACACCGCACCTAGAATATTGCCGCATGTGGGCATGCAACCGGCTATCACCGCAGAACCTCCCGCGCTTCCGGATGTGCCGATTGCGAATTCACCACGAGGATCAGTCTAGTCAGATCGAGGCCCGATGAGCCAGGTAAGTGCCCGAGCCTTTGAACTGGACGAGGTGAGAGAAACAGATCTGCAGGAAGGACTTTAGGATTAAAACCTAACAACTAACAATCTAATCCACCATATAATCAATGCAATCTTTGCAACTTATCGAGCCCATAATCGCTTCCCTTTTTCCTCCTTGTACTCTGCATCCTTTGAGCTTTGCATGACCTAGCTTAGCTGGGCACCCACATGCGACACAAGGGCCTCTCCTTAGTTCTAGTCAGCTTCACGCAAAGCACGACATCCCGAATGTGGGCGCTGTGGGCGCTGCCTGTCTCGCCGTACGGGTAATCCTCATGCTTGACAACACGTGAACAACAATTGATCCTACAGTTTCTGTGTCTTAGGTCTTTCGTTAAGACGATAATAATAGATCGACCGTCTCATTGATCGTCGCATTATCGCAGCCGAGAGAAATGCCACCGGTTGACTTAGAAAATTGCCAACCGCTTGCCCTCCCGACTCGAACCTTGACGTTCTTAGTCGACATCATCAGGATCAAAGCCCCCATCTGTGCGATCGCCTATTTGCCATCAATGAGGGAGATCGGACTTGGCTGGTAATATTTACCTAGACCTTCGCGACGGATTGCGAACTTCTTATCGCACCCTGGGAGGTAGCATGGGCCTCCGGTGGTTTTCGATTCTTCTGAGCCGTAGTCACACACTTTTTTGCTTTCTTCGCGTCTTTGCATATCGTCTGGATAGTCTTCGTGTAGTGTCCGCAAGAATGGACGCGAGTCAACCATTTGCACATGGTTCAATAGGTCTCGGCTGCAGCCGTTAGAACTAGCTGACTTCGAGATGATAATTAAATAGTCGGTTTAAGTAATGTCTAATGAACTGCAAGCTCAGATTAGTGAGTGAAAGGTGTTTACTGTAATTATTCTTTCTATGGCATTCTGTATTGTCAGATGATGATAGCAGAAGCCGTGGTGGGGCTGTGGGTGCTGAGCGAATGACGGTTCGACCAGATGATCCCTTCTTTGATATTCGTCAACTCGTTTTATCAAAGACTCAATAGAGAAATCTTCAATAGGTGTTGAAGGCTCAATATGTCTTCCATATTCAGAATTGGAGTCCATAGTTACTTTAGAGATAAACAAAGTTAAAACTTGGGAGTCTTAAGAGAGATTAAATACATTGACCAGGGCCATTCATGCTTGTAAAAATGGCCCAAAACTGGGCCATATGCTAAGAATAACAGAATATAGCGTTTG